GATGCTGAAGACTGAAGTAATAGATGCTGAAAATTCAGCCTTGACATTGCAAGAATAAATTACATTTTAAAATATATTCATATAGGAAATAGCTGTTTAAAATTATATAATGTTTGACAACAGTAGTTTTTACTGTACTTTTTGATCAAATAAATTCAGCCTTTCAAACACATAAACAATCTTACCAACCCTAAACGTTTGGACAGTAGTATAGACAATTTCATCCTGTTGACAATAAGTATAAATAACAGTTTTCAAATAGAGAGAGTACCAGTGACTCATTTATAGTGTTCTGAAAGCTTTAAATCATGTTAACATCTCCCTGAACACAACAAGCTCTGTGTAATCCTGGTTTGCCCTATAGAACTCATTTCCTGTTTTATATTTTTCCGCAGGTTTCTCATTCAGCCTGATTCTGGAATCATCTACACTCAGCCCTGGGCCAGTCTGGATGCCGAGGTCAAATCCAAGTATAACTTTTATGGGAAAGCCGAAGACACTGACGGAAAATACAGCCTTGCAGAAGTCTTTGTCACCATTATGGACCTCAATGACCATTCACCAGCATTCAATGAAAACTCTCTAGAGAAGACAATGGTGATTGGTGCACCAGTGAAAATAGAGGTTAGCTATATTTGTTATATTGTATGTTTTGTTTGTTCTTCTAATAGAACACTGGTCAGTTGACTGTGTTTGATTATTTGTAGGCGATTGATGAAGATGCAGAAGAGCCCAATAATGTCATTGAATACTCCATCATGAAGTCTGACCCAGATGACATATTTGACATGGATGCAGACACAGGGGAAATAAAGCTGAAGCCGTACATCAAGTCCATGGACATAGTCCAGAATATCAGCAATCACAAAGACTGTACCTGGTCTGTGGTTGTTCAGGCCAAAGACAGAGGTTCACCATCCTTCAGCACCACCACGGTGGTAAAGATTGACATCACAGAAGCGGTAAGTGGGTCTTTATTAATGCTTTTTTTCTGAGAATCCTATTAGTTTCAAATATGAAAGTATTTATTGTATATAAGAAATTATGATTGCCATTCAAAACAACTCAAGAGACCTTCTCATTTATGCATTTTGACAGTCACGTAATTGCACATGAAAACCAGAAAAGCTATCAGAATATAAATATATCTCTTAAATGCATACAAAAAAAAAATGAATCATGCTGAATTGTAAGCAAACCTCATATAAAATCTAGTATAAGTTTTGTGTTATTCTGTGCTTTACAGATCAAATCCAGAATGATTTCATACTTCTTGAGTCTGAGAACTCGGCCCTGGACTGTTTTGGGGATTTGTTTGAGCACTGTAGTCCTCGCCATCTGTCTGACCATTTTCATATCCACCATAATTTTCTGGAAATCTGTGAAAAAGTCCCGGGTCCAGCCAAGGGGCAAGATCACAAAGATTATTAGGAGGCCCTGACCATCAGACACTTTGACACCGACACCAATACTTAGCATCCTTCTTCATATTTTTCCATCCTTACATGATTTTACTGTTGTTTAAAGGCAAGTGAAAAGTCTGTAAAAGAATACACGAGCACAGTTATTAGGGTGTACTCACACTAGGCGTTTTGAACCGTGCCCGAGCGCGTTTGACCCCCAAAACCTGGTTCGTTTGACTAGTGTGAGTGCTCCATGCCGCGCTCGGGCGCGGTTCGTTTAGCCGGCCCTGGCCCGGTTGGAAGAGGTGGGCCAGGGCACGGTTCGGTTGGGCTCGGGCGTGGTACGCATGCAGTGTGAGCGCTAACCGTGCCAGAGCACAGAACAGATAGTATTTTGTGTGCGCTACTGTCATCATTACGACCGCAAACATATTCTATTACTACTACTGCACTACACTTTTCAATTCATTTAATTTAATCAAGTATATTTAGGTTTATAATGGCTCTGGTTCTTACCTTATTAATGAACAGGAAATGTAGTTTGCGAGTAAAGCTGCAAATTATTTCATTAACGTCAGCTGCTTCCGTAATAATTTTCTGATACATAAGTGAAAATCAGTGCACGGCATAAATGATAAATTAATTATTATTAATTATTCGGCAGAATATTAGCGAAAGTGGTTTTATCCGTTATCTCATACATGACGTAAGCGTGCTCCGGCCCGGAGTGTTTAGTGCAAGTGTGAGTGCAGGCCAGCGGGGGAGTGGGGAGTGGGGATAATCGCGCTCGGTTCAAGGCAATCGTGCCTAGTGTGAGTACACCCTTTCAGAATAATAGCTTTTATTTTGCTCTTATGTGGCTCCAAACAATAGTCCGTTTATCCGTTCAGTCTACATCATACAGTAGATCTTTTTGAGATTATAAAAATGAGGCTGCATGGTCGTAATTCTGGGTGCCTCATTCAACCCTTCTGATCTTGTCTTACTGTGCAACCAGACTCTGTTTTAACATTCAAATCCATTTAGTCTTTAACAGAACTTATAAATCACGAAATTAATTGCCACCAAATCAATTGTTATCAATCTGTTCTCAGCTTTTGAGATGCCATGCAATGCTTTCTAACCCATACAGTATACTGACTCTACATACATTTGACTCAAGTATGCTGTGCTAACTGCTGTTGGCCTCTCTGGGAGTTGAGATGTTTATTTGCCTCACTTTTACCATGTGTCTCTGACCAAACAGCAGGAAGCCTATAGTACATCATTCTTGGGTCCTATGGACTTGATTTCTCTTTGTGCTCTTTTACAGACTCAACTCAAGGGACCTTTGACGTCCTTTTTATTGAAATGTAGGGAAAATCCCATGCAATTCCTAGGCTTGGTCAGTGGTGTCATTACAATCATGGTTTTTGTGACAGTCTTCATCTCTACTGTTATATACATGAGAAATGTCAAGTCCAACAAGATCCTACCCTCCCGTCGCATCATACGAAGGAAGCGTAAACCCCGGAGACGAGATGACTTCCAGCAACCGTTCAGAGAAGAATGCTGTGGAGGTAAGTTTAGAAATGAGGATCTGGAGATCCCTACAGCAGACAATATCAACCGTAACAATAATGTCAAAGGATGTTCACATCGAGCCCCTCCGTCGCCTCCTAACGCCCCTGTCATGCCCCCACCATTGCCAAGTCACTATAGACACGGTGATCGGGAGTGGACAGTACCTACAGTTTCTGCCTCGGTGGCCTCCAAGACAAAGAAAAGATCTCATAGGGGTAAAGACAATCCTGTCAACACAGCACTGGTTTCTGAACTCAAACTTAGACTGGAGCAGAAAAACATGGCAAACCGATACTGATGAAGTGCATGTATATAAATGCCAGTGTTCAATGGAGAGAAAACGTGTTTCTTCTGACAAAAGAGATTTCAGGCAAGATTTGAGCAAGGACCAGATCTCAGCAGGCCAGCTCTGGAAGCTTCTTACTGTACAGTGTCTTTTCTAATACGTGACGAGTTTAGCTGGGATTGCAGGTTGAACCTAGTGGAATTGAGGGAAAGTGTCACTAGCCAAGACTAACACCTTGCTAATACGACGACTCTGTGTACTGCCTCTTCTGGATGGAAAATAATTGGTTAACGTTTACTCTGTTTCACTGACATTTTTATTTATTTATTTATTTTTAACTGTGTATAACTGGCAAGGAGTGTGAGTTTTCATTCTTCAAAATCATGTAGTATGCACTATATTTGTTTTTTTTTTAAATGGGAATAGTTTTTTTTTTTCTTTCAAAAATACAAGTGTCGCTGAGGCCAGTAAATAAATCCATTCTGGGTCTCATATAATATATTTTGGACCTTGAACGAACACTAACAATGCCAAATTCTAAGCATTCATTTGCTGGTTTATTTGGTAAATACATTTTTTTGACTGATGGACCCCTGAAAATCACAAACAGTTGCAATATTATATAATGATTTGAGTAAATAGTTATCTTCCTTTCCTTCAGTGAGGAAAGCCAGTGTTACGTTATCAATTTGTGCAATGTTTCATGTACCTTGTCAGTGTTCATGCAGTTAAGTATTAAATGTCAAATAATTGTTGGAATGATCTCTGTTTATATACAACCTTTTGTAAATAAATTGATATTTATTCAAATGTGTTGTTTCATTTGTATTTATTTGTAGCATAGCACATTTTTAAGGGGGTCCTGTGATATGAAACTGCTTTGTATATCATCTTACAGCTTTGTGTCTGTTGCATTTTATTCAGTGTAATATAGGATTGAGAAAAATTATTTTACTTTAATGCCGCATTTTGTCATATGGGCTGATGGTGCAGTAACTGCAGCTGGTGAATCTTTTTTTTCTCTTTATTTAAAACAGATTTTAAAACCTAAGTTATTTTAGATAATTTTTTTGTTGTTTTTTTTACAAATACATTTTTTTTTTATCAGTAATGTGACTCAAATATTTCAGAAACTTACCATGTGCAGCTGTGATTTGGCTATTTTAGCACGTGCTTGTTCTTTTGGTTCTTAACATGTTCAGATTTGGGGACTTTAATATTTAGAAGACAAATTATGAGTTGTCTTTCTCTGGCTTTCCTAAATCTCTAAACGTGTTTATACATTTAAAGAGACACATGCACTGTAAGCTTTTTAGGTGTGTGCTATTCATCGTTGAAAATGTTTATGACTCTTTCTTCTTTGAAGCACGTAAGACAAAACTGCTGTGATGAGGAAAGTGTTTTCAGATAGTAAAAGCAGCACTGGGAGTAAAAGCACAAATGACATGGAATTATACCCTGTAGGAAGCAAGTAGGATTACTGAGAGGATTACAAACTTGCAAAGTGCGCTGATGGACTGGGATAAAAGAAAAACAGAACATTCAAACCAAGATGCGTACATTTTGACTAATTGATTTTGGAGCCCTCTGGTTAAGGTTACAGAGACCTGTAAAGTCAGAACACTCAAAGTTTAACACTGAAATACATAAAGATCTGTTTTCTTTAAGCACTCTTCCAGTATCAAAAGCATATCCATTAAAACCATTTTCAAACAGTTCCACGCACAGATTTATGAGCATGGGTATAATATACTGTATGCAGAGAACTGTGCTCTGCTGTAGTGACATAGCATGATTGGTTACGTACTGTATGTTTTAATCCTGGTTTAGCAGCACCACAATGGAAAAAAACTAAGCGTAACTGTCAACAAAGCCTGGATTGGTGCAGAGTGGCACGCTTCAGCAGCGCTAAACCTTCAGCCTGATAGTTATTTCATGCATCTTCACAAATCTCTTGAATGAAATTTAAAGCCTTCAATTGCACTGTCCACAATCTATCATACAAAATCAACTACAGAAACACAAGTTCAGAAATATACTTTTATACATTTACTGACAGACAAATATTGCAACTATCACTCATTTTTTTTTAAGAAACAAAGTATAATACTTTAGGACATAACACAATACGGTCATAAAACAATATTTATAACATTTATTTTCCAAAACAGCAACTTAGAGTTATGTTCAAATTAAAGTCAGTTTCAGTTCCTTTAAAGGTCAGTGTATTTCAGTCTTGTATCACTCATTGTTCAGTTTTCATTGTCTGTATATGACATTTTCAGTTTGTTTGCCAAAGTGCTTGCTAGCTGACACCTGTGTCTATTTTAAAAGTAAAGTATTGGGTCCACTGTTGGATCGACATGATATGGAACAGGCATAAAAAAATCCTAATCTGTTTTGTGCTCCTGTGTTCGTATTATGTGCATTAAAATAAATCTGTTACATAAACAATCATACAAGTGCAACTCAACCTAAAATAATTCATAATTTAGATTAAAAATATCATCATCAACCACATATAATAAACTGATCAAAATCAATTTTATATACAGTAGTTGTATTATGAATGTTTCCTATGTTTTGAGCCCTACTAATTGTCACGAGTTGTCAAAGTGCATTTGTTCTCTTCTAAATATAGTTGTACTAGAGATTCAGTGTATTAATGGTCTTTGCTTTTATTCCGTGGATTTGACCAGTTTGTCTGGAAATCCCTGTCCAGCAGCAGCTGATCCATGAGTTCATGACCAGTTGAGACTCTCTTCTGAAGATTGTGGCATCCATAATAAGCATATTAACTTTACTCGGATCTCCACTCAAGCTGGATAAATGTCACAATGTAATTAAATGGAGGCTTGTCTGAATCCTTTCATGGGTATTAATGAGTCTATAGCTGTCTTTGAGTGTGTGGTGTCAGTAAAGCTCAGCTGTCGGTCTTCGTTCATTCTTTGGTTTCTGTATCTTCTCAGCAGACCTTCGTCTGGCTTTCTGCTCTTTGCTGGACTCCTTGCAGAGGCCCTCATCACTGGCAGCTTGGAGACTGTCAAACGTGCCCTGTCTCTCATCAGATGTGGGAGAGCGTTCCGAATGTCTCCTGTTTCTCCACATCTCCGTGCAACGCTCAAAGCAGTTGAACTTGGCATCGGTGGTGCAGGCGTACATTCCCGCGGGCACAGCAAGCACCATGGCAAGTACAATGATGACAATATGAATGAGCTTCTCTCTCTGTTCCATCTCATTGAAATCACTGCCTGTCACAAATACAATGCACTGGCCATTCCGAGGAGCCTGGTTTTTTAGAGTAACACAGATTTCATATTTAGTGGCTGGTAACAGGTCTGTGACAGAGTATGTGTTGATACCTGGCCCAATATATATCTGCTCCTTCTTGAGTGTGTCATATCGGCCAAAATGGATGGTGAACCAGGTTTCAGCTGGATTGTCTGTCACAGCATGCCACTCGACTGTGATGCCATAGACTGTCTGCTTGGCAATACGGATATCAATGTAAACATTTTCCTCAGCGATGGCAGCAGGGAAGCCTGAGGAATGAGACACTGAGCCTTCCGGAGACTTCACATCCAGTAAAACACTGATGGAGGAATTGCCGATGAAGTTGTTGGCAGTGCAGGTGTAAAGCCCTCGATCGGCCGGATGGAGCGAAGGAAGGATCAGCTGAGACTTGATGGTGTCCTCATCCACACGGCTCTGAATCTCTGAACACACAATAAACAGTTTTTGAAACTAAGGACAATTTAATAACAACAACAACATTTTGTTATTATTATAAATAACAATCTGTATAAAAAATAATTTTAAAAATACAAAAATAAAATATATATAAAATATATTATATATTATTTTATAAAATAAATATACAAAATATATTAATAATTTATAAAAAAAAAAAATAATGCATTTATAATGAGTATTATTACTATTCATGATGATGATTATTGTTATATTGATAATTTATAAATCTATGATATATATATATATATATATATGTGTGTGTGTGTGTGTGTGTGTTAATATTTTAATACAATATAAAAAATAATATATTATATTCATATAAATAATAAATATGTATTCATTGCTACATCTCTGACAGTGTCACAATAGACGGTTGGAATTTGCACCAATTTTTTGTTTATAATTTTATTCAAAATAAATGCTACAAAAAACTTTTTTGATACACTCTTTTGAGTGATTTTTAGAAACTTAGAACATAAATATGCTTATATTTTATTTAAACTGAACTGTGTAAGAAGATGAGGTTTAAACATATATGTCATTTTGTAACATACAAAAGGTGGTGTTTTTACACCATTCCCAAGTGTAATAATATCTGTGTGCACTAATTGAGGGTTAAGCACCTAAGTTTTTAAATAAAGATATCTATTTAAGTGAAGACAAACGTGTAACTATGTAAACATCACTTACCACGAAATCCTCGTAGTATCTTAAGACCATATATCCACCGAACAGCAGGTTCAGGTCTGGCCGTGGCAAAGCATGTTAGCGTGATGTTCCGTCCTAACGGCGCGGTGATGTTGGTGTCTGGGGAGCTGACCTCAGGCTTCACACACGTCTTTAGATCGACCTCGTGGAAAAATTTCCCTGCCTTGAATTCGGGGCTAGAGCATGTCAAATATGAGTTCATTAGAATGAACGGTGGACTCAAAGATTTGATGAACTCAATGAAGCCTCCCAGGCGACAGTCGCACAGCCACGGGTTGTCGTGAAGCGCCAGAACAACGTTGGACGCTGTAGGTCGCTCGTGTTTGTTTTCTGTGTAATAGAGAGGCCAGCTCATGAAAACGTCTTTAGAAATGACTGAGAGTTGATTAGAGGACAGATCTAAGTAGGTCAGGCCTGGTAGAAACTTTAGCGCGTGTTCCGGGAGGGCGTCGATGCGGTTGTGCTTCAGGTCCAGGATCTTAAGGTTGGGGGTTTCCTCAAACGCTGTCCATGGTACTGAACTCAGTTTGTTACCCTGCAACCGGAGCTCTGTCAAGTTGCCCAAACCTTCCAGACTTTTGATATTTATGATGGCGATGTCATTGAAGTTCAGCCAGAGATGCTTTAGCAACTTAACATGGGAAAACGCTGCCTTTGGTAGCTCATTTAGCAGTGATTTCTCTATTCGGATTTTAGTTAAATCTTCCGGTATGTCCTCAGGAATGCCGGATAGTGGCGCTTTCATACACGTGAGTGACCTAGAAAAAACATTCCATACTTTCAATTGATTTTTTTTTTTAAAGGTTGGATAACCCGTAACTTTGGATTTATTAAAAATAATACAAAAATGTTTCTGAATTCAAGCTGTCTAGCAGAGGTTTTCAATTTCTCTGGAAAAATGCTTGGCATGGCAGTAATGGCAGTACTATCAGGGACAGCAATTCTAAAAAAAGTTATAATAAAATAAAATATAAAAGCACATATGCATATATATATATATATATAACCAATATTTTATTCCTTTAACAAAAGAGGCAAAAAAGTTCCTCTAATCATACATATATTCATATTTACAAACTATAACTCTCACATATATACTATAGCTAGCCCTGTTCTCAACAC